CTTCAATCCACGGTAATTCAAAAGCAATAAATTGAAACAGTTCGTGTTATTAACTCCTAGCGCATAATACTCAAGAGTGTAATCTGTTTCTGTGGATCTGAAAACTGACATACTTTAAATACTATAAATCTTATTTAAAGGTATATTTTTTTACATTTACTACGAATAATAGTATCAATAAATATATGCGACATTCAAAGCAAATTCAAGTATATAGCGATTGTAAATAGATATGATAGTAATATTTTTGTTATTAAGTTGAATAATTTACTGTTTAAAACATGCTCATTTATTTACATAAATATACGTAAAAACAAAATACAAAATTCAAGCTTAGTTGATTTTGAATAGTTGTTCTTTATGATTCATTTGCATTTATAAGTCTTACATTTTCTTTTAAAACCATGACGTAATAATATCTAATATAACTAAGTATTGCATAGTAAATATAATTAGAAATACCTCTATTTCAAAATACCTGCATCACATCATGTCGAATACAAAATTCTGACATTTTGCGTTCAACCTAAAATTTTACCTAGTAGTCATGATTAGTTGTTTTAGGTAGATCGTAGATTGATAGTTTATGAACTTTGCTTCAATTTAATAAAAGTTTTATTTCCTTAAACCCTACAGAAAAAATTACACAGGCCTAAAACAAAATGGTATTCCAAATTACCCTCCATTCCCACTATTATAACTCACTTAATTTATTATGTTTTCAGGCAATAAAGAACCAACAAAACTGTCAATTACAAAATCAGAAACTTCAGCCGACAGCACAATCACATGTATCATATTACGATATAGTATGGCAGCTAACGAGGGGGCAATCTAAACTATGCTAGTAACCTATTATGTTCGCTTAGACAATACGTCGTTATTAAGCTATAAACAGTATTTTCTAAGTTGCCTAAATCAATAAGCAAGCTGCTGTACACGTTTGTTTGTTTGTTATTTTATTACTTTATTTTCTAGTCATGACGAGTGCCGTAGTAGCGGAGGGGCTAAGCTATCTCAGTAAATTTTTACAATACGCAAGAAATCGAGTTCGATCCCCGCCGGCACCAATAATATTGTTAATTGCAATGTAAAGTGCTGATTTGCCACGTGCTTTTGAAGGCGTGCAAATAATATTATAATAGTAAAATATTATTTATTTTTGTTCTCTCTATTTAACAACAAGTCTCATATTTTGCTGTACAAATGCCATAAAATGCGCAGTCTGTTCAGTGTCGTATGGAGTTACATTATTGAGGTATATTTAAAATACCGTATATACCTGTTTCCTGTATTTATATAGGACATTGCCCTCAGAACTACTTGAAAATGTAGAAACAATCTTCTAAGAAACTTATATACAAAATAAAAAACTACCTACATAATTTTTAGAAAATTAATTACAAATTACCCTCCATTCCCACTATTATAACTCACTTAATTTATTATGTTTTCAGGCAATAAAGAACCAACAAAACTGTCAATTACAAAATCAGAAACTTCAGCCGACAGCACAATCACATGTATCATATTACGATATAGTATGGCAGCTAGCGAGGGAGCAATCTAAACTATGCTAGTAACCTATTATGTTCGCTTAGACAATACATCGTTATTAAGCTATAAACAGTATTTTCTAAGTTGCCTAAATCAATAAGCAAGCTGCTGTACACGTTCTTTTGTTTGTTATTTTATTACTTTATTGTCTAGTCATGAAGAGTGCCGTAGTAGCGGAGGGGCTAAGCTATCTCAGTATTTTTTACAATACGCAAGTAAATCGAGTTCGATCCCCGCCGGCACCAATAATATTGTTTATTGCAATGTAAAGTGCTGATTTGCCACGTGCTTTTGAAGGCGTGCAAATAATATTATAATAGTAAAATATTATTTATTTTTGTTCTCTCTATTTAACAACAAGTCTCATATTTTGCTGTACAAATGCCATAAAATGCGCAGTCTGTTCAGTGTCGTATGGAGTTACATTATTGAGGTATATTTAAAATACCGTATATACCTGTTTCCTGTATTTATATAGGACATTGCCCTCAGAACTACTTGAAAATGTAGAAACAATCTTCTAAGAAACTTATATACAAAATAAAAAACCTACCCACATAATTTTTAGAAAATTAATTACAAAAAACCCATTATATAATATTAAAGCAAATCATGGTATTTTCACAACATTATCTTATTGCTGACCTGAGTATTAGGTCAATCTGCTGTATATATAGGTATAGTGTAATCAAAATGCAGTAAAATACCATGATTCATTAGAAAACTAATACTTTTGCACTCAAATACAAGCAGAAGATGAAAATCTACAACTCCAGCAAGCACCATCAACAACAATTTCAATATAAATGACCAACCAACCTGTTCACATTATTTAGATTTCAGTGATTTTTGACTGGATCTTAATTTTTACAGTTTAGAATTAACAGTTTATTTATTTGCTTTATGGTGTGTAGGTTACATGAGATACTATTAAACACTAGATATATATTACATACCAAATCCCTAACGGAGATATGTAAATTTGTTTATTCTTGGAAATTTTAGTTTTATAGCAGTAATATTTACATTTTGTTATGGAAACAATATTGTACCCAATATTATATTACTAAAATATGTACTAAACATTAAATAAAATAAATTTTTCGGATTTTATTGTGTTTAATTCAACAGAAAAACATTTACTTGGTCATCATCAGAGCTTCAGACGTATTAAGTTCTAACCTCCGTACTCAATTATTATATCTTTTTACATAAAGCTAGGTCATCCTAACTATATCCGTTACTGGTAACCGATAAGCACTTACTTGGTCATCATAGGACTTTCAGAATGTATTATATGGAAGCAACCAAGCTCGATTAGACTAACATAGGAGGCTAAGTCGTTCTAACTATTTCCGTTACTGAGAGCGGATTAGCACTTATCTGGTTATCATCAGGCCTCAGAACGTATTATGTAGTAAGCCCCAGCTCAATCCGATAAATATTGAAAGCAATGTCATCTTAACTATTTTCTTTACCAAGAACCGATAAACACTTACCTGGTCGTCATATGACCAGGTAAGTGTTTATCGGTACGAGTGCGGGTGCTACTACATGATACATACTACATAATGTATCATGTAGCAACCCGCACTCGATTAGATAAACATTAAAAGCTAGGTCATCCTTACTACTTCCGTTACTGAGATTCGACAAGCACTTATCTGGCCATCGTCATACCATATAGCACCCGTACTCTTTTAGATAACTGAATAAAACTAGACAATCCTTACTATATTCATAACTAAGGTTAGTAGAATCAGTACAGGTACAGTAACCAGCACGCACGATGCGTTATTTAGGTATTTCAAAATAAGTAGGAATTAATATAATGAATTAATATAATTAACGTAATGAACTCTTTCAAGACTCGGAACAAAATGTAGTAGGTTCTCAGAGAGCGAATAAAATGGGCCAAAATAATAATAATAATAATAATAATAATTCTTTATTGAACACAGAATTAATATAAATGCGTGCGTGCGTGCGTGCGTGCGTGTGTTCGTGTGCGTGTGCGTGTGCGTGTGCGTGTGCGTGTGCGTGTGCGTGTGCGTGTGCGTGTGCGTGTGCGTGTGCGTGTGCGTGTGCGTGTGCGTGTGCGTGTGCGTGTGCGTGTGCGTGTGCGTGTGCGTGTGCGTGTGCGTGTGTGCGTGTGCGTGTGCGTGTGCGTGTGCGTGTGCGTGTGCGTGTGCGTGTGCGTGTGCGTGTGCGTGTGCGTGTGCGTGTGCGTGTGCGTGTGCGTGTGCGTGTGCGTGTGCGTGTGCGTGTGCGTGTGCGTGTGCGTGTGCGTGTGCGTGTGCGTGTGCGTGTGCGTGTGCGTGTGCGTGTGCGTGTGCGTGTGCGTGTGCGTGTGCGTGTGCGTGTGCGTGTGCGTGTGCGTGTGCGTGTGCGTGTGCGTGTGCGTGTGCGTGTGCGTGTGCGTGTGCGTGTGCGTGTGCGTGTGCGTGTGCGTGTGCGTGTGCGTGTGCGTGTGCGTGTGCGTGTGCGTGTGCGTGTGCGTGTGCGTGTGCGTGTGCGTGTGCGTGTGCGTGTGCGTGTGCGTGTGCGTGTGCGTGTGTGTGTGGTGTGTGTGTGTGTGTGTGTGTGTGTGTGTGTGTGTGTGTGTGTGTGTGTGTGTGTGTCTGTATTTGTTAAAATATGTGCTTAAAGTAGGTTATCATAGGTTATCACAATTTTCATAGTCGTATTCTTTTAGCCAAATTAAAATAGTTTGTTTAATTTGGTGTCGTTTTAAGTTCTTTAATTTAATTTTTTTATTAATAGCATTGTATAAATGAGGCGCTTGGTAGTCACATTGCCTTTTTGCTGAAGCGCTTTTGACAAATGGTACTGGGCATTTTTGTGTTCTTTTGTTTCTATCTACATATATGTGGCAAATATTATGATATCGTTTTATGCATTGGTATATACGATTTTCGTACACTTAGGACATTTGCCAATTCATAAACTTTAGATTTTGGGTGTGTATAAGGAAGATTTAATATTAGTTTAGTAGTCATTTTTGAGTTTTTAATTTTAGGAAATCTGATTCCGTTTCTACACGTATTGTTGGCGAGCCCTCTTCTCTACGTAGAAATACCCTTCCATATGTTGTCCAGCAGAATTAAAATTTTTCTTGAGTAGCAAATTCTCTAGCCAAGTAGAATAATCTTCTGGTTTTAGTGCTGAGATTTTCTGATATATAAATTGGAGTTTTGGGCCCCCCAATTTCCAGGTGTTCAGTGTTCAGCTTGTAGCGCTTATTTTCTTTATTGAAGGTTTTAACTGATTTAACTAAGCTCTTTTTGACTAGAATTGATGTAAATTCAACAAATTTTTGGGTATATTTCGAATTTCCAGGCTGTTGTTGCGGGTTTGGCGTTCTAGCTGATCTATTTTAGCTTCCACTAATCGAATATAATTCTTATCTTCTTTTATGTTTTCTTCCATCTTTTGCATCTTATCTATAAGATAAGATGCAAAAGATGAATTTCATCACATTTCTTTGATGTAAAGTCCACCGAGTTTTTCAGTTTAATATTCTGTTCTTTTATTTCCTTCATAGTAACTTTTAAATCCATAAACATGCTCAGTACTTCGTTTTTGAAAGTCGACATATCTGAATTTTTATCTGCTTTCTCTCTTCTCCTTTTATTGCGCTGGGAAACATAAGTCACTTCGACTTCTGTGCTATCTGTCATATTTAAGATTGATTCTGATTAACAAAGGGATTGACAGGTGTTCACATTAAAAACAGGCGTCTATGGGGGCGTTCATTTTAGTAGCATTATTGGATAAGCACAGGATGATACTTCAATTCTTACGTAATAAAATATCTAAAGGTCGCAATGGTATTATTGCAACAATAAGCAACTAGGCGCTTGATATTTACGTTTTGTATTGCTTTTTTATTTTTATAGGCGTTGTAAAAATAATATCAATGTAGGTAAGTCAAAGTCAAATTAGTTGATAACACATTAGTTAGTTCCAAATTCTACACACTGTATTTTAGTTATTAGTGATAAGAAAAGTTAATAATAATTACTTTTAATGCACTTTTCAGTTCACTTTACACTTCTATAAATGGATTCGTTCACTTTTACGTTAAAATGTGCACGTTAGACTGTTTTTCGTTATTTTTAAAGCGGATTGATATGAACTGCATCTGCACAACTTGACGGCGCGCGGGAAGAAGATAATGATAACAATGTTTATAAGTTTTATCATTTATGAAAACTTACATTAGGTTTTATTTAATTTGTGCTCAGAATTGTTATGAGTATATACGTACCAAGCGTCAAAATTAAATTCGCATTAATTTATAAGAATTAATATATATCATCATCATCATTATTACAGCCCTTCACAAGTCCACTACTGAACATAGAATTCCACCAACGAATGCTACAAAGCACGATCCGGAGCCACGTGCTTCCATCGACTTAAGATTAATATTACGCGATATAAATTTACGACTATGACACCAACAGTGCGAAATAGATTGAATTTGAATTTAAATGACTAAATTATTCTCGAATTAACTATGTAACTATCTTAATGAACAACGTTAACACTTTAAACGTAACTTTCTAAGTTTAAAGTTAAAAATTAAATTTTAGCTATCAGCATTTACCTAATCGAATACTTTTACATTTTATTTGTAACATTTATATTAATCTATAACCAAAAACTAAAACATAATTATGATTATACACAAGGAATTAAAAGCGAACTTTCAGTTCACTAGTGGAAGTCGATGATGAAGAAATCATAGTAATTAGTAATGCATACCAACTCTAAAAATTTCACATCATTTCATTGTATGGTGTTTCAAGTGTTTACGGGTGGCTCAGTTACCATTTTTGCCGCTTGTTTATAAAAACGTAGTTAATGAATAATACGAAAAAGTGAAATATTTTTATCTAAGTATTGAATAGTGTACAATAAGCGCAATGGATAAAATTAAGGAGCATTCTTTATACGACTCTTCACTCTAATGAAACATGTCTTTATTAAGATTAGTCAATTTTATAGCTCGATAATCTACATGACTGGGGCGAGGTTGGTGGCGGATTAACGGCTTTACGTGCTTTCCGTGGCACGGGAGTATGACACCGCCAACTTCCTGATTTCGGGCTGTTACTGAGAATATCTGGTCAGAAAAATCCAATACCTGATTTTGATCCAACCCGGGTTGCGAATACAGGACCTCAACATTATAAATCGCGTTTACCACTCGACCATAGGTGGTAAAAAGCACAGTAGTTTAAAACACGAGCTTACGAGTATAAAGTCATAACTTATTAGCTTCTTATTAATCTGGATGATTTGTTATTTTCATTTAGCTAACTTTTTTTATAAAGGGATATCCAAAATAATATTTTAATAGTATCTATTTAATTATTTATTATAATAAAAATATTTTGGCCAAAACTGTAATAAACGATCTTTTAGGGTGCAAAAATTTATGTCAGCTACGGCCATCGGCTATCTCCAAAACCTGAAAGCTCTTAGAACAAAAACATTCGCTATGCTTGTTTATCAATGAGGTTTTTAGTGTTTAAAAAATTCAGCAAATGATGTGAAATTTAATTTAGTGAGTTTACGTAGACTCCAAGTATTATTGGTTTAGTTCAATTGTAACTCACGATAAAATTGTAGGTTTTTTTATAGAAGATGTGGCAAACAAGAGTGGCTCACCTGATGGTAAGTGACTACCGCCGCCCATGAATTAATGTAACACCAGGGGACTTGCAGGTGCGTTGCCGGCCTTTCAGAAAGGAGTAAGCTCTTTTCTTGAAGGACCCTAAGTCATATCGGTCCGGAAAAATCACCGGTGGTAAATTATTCCACAGAGGGTTCACACTTTGAAGAAAACTCCTAGTAAAACGTACAGTGGAGGACCGCCAAACATCCAGATGGTATGAACCATTCATCGTGAGTTTTGTCGCAATGTGCATTCGTGAAATTTGGTGGCTGGAATCAATCCGAACAATTCCTTAGAGCACTCCCCGTGGTAGGTAGATGCGATAGTAAATGCAAAGATGCAACATCCCTTCGCAGAGCCAGTTAACCGAGCCGATCGGAGAGGACTCGGCCGTCGACGATTCGAGCCGCTTTGTGCTGGATGCGGTCAAGTGAAAGTAGCTGGCACTGGGGAGCTCCGGCCCAGAGATGAGAACAGTGTTCCATGTGTGGCCGAACCTGCGCTTTTTTAGAGTTACAGGCGGTGTGGCGGCATGAAATACTGTCCTGCTATGTTGAGTACACCAAGCTTTTTAGAGGCATTTTATTAGCCTTAGTTTCGCTTAGATCGTAGCGTAAAAACTGTATTAAGCCTTTTTATGAATATGCGGAGTTATCTCAAAAACTGGTTGATAATAGTAATACATTCATACATTATAAAGGCAATTCCTCGTAACAATCATTTGTTTTTAAAATTATTGGTAATCGTATTTTATAAACAAAAAACTAAAAACTAAAATTGACATAGCTTATAATTTTCTTTATATACTGAATTATATAAACAACTTGATGGCTCCTAAGTACACTATCGAATGTTCAAAGACCGAACTTTACAGGAGAACCGTTTAAACATATTTTAGTATAGCAGACATTATAAAGATGCCGCTGCCAGCCAGCTGATTTGTTTCCATCCGTTGCCTCTTACGACATCCACAAGATTACATTGGATAGTGAATATTCTTACAACGCCTCTATACGATCATTTTTATAAGTATTAGGATCAAACCATTCAATATACACAACAAAGAACTTATATAAATATAGGTCACTCATTAAGTAGAATATGACGTTGTCTTTCCTGACGTTTGCGATTTTACCGGTTGTAAACATTTAATGTAGTCACATACTCCTTACTTGACTTCTTTTTATTGTATTGATTATCGTGCCCATTATGATCACCACTATGTCTGATGACATCGTTCGTGTCCATTTCTTGTATCACGGTCTACACTATTCGTTCACTTACCGGCAAAGTCCATAAAAATTGCTTTTTGTATACAATAAGATGATTTTCAACTGAGTTATCAGTGGCTTGATAAGGTAATTTATACTTCAATGTATATTTTTGTCGAGTATACTATACGTCTCTGGTGATCTCCTAGTCTCTAGAAAAGAACAAAAAAGAACATAAAATATAATTTTATTTTGCAATATTTACGTAAACAAGTGTAACAACAAAAATAAGGTTAATTTTAACCACTTCGTGAAAAATAATACTTACGTATGGAAACAACTTACCTAGTCATTTATGGTTTCTTTCAAACAGACTCTCACACAGACAGACTCTCTAAAAAATCAGACTCAATATCTGCTGATCTTGGCAATTAAAATGCAAAATCGCATAACTTGCATATTCAAAACTTATTTCAAATATTTAATCAATTAAATGACATTTCACACGTCAAACGCGGACGTACATACGTACGTTTTATACGTGGTAGAGCCATGCTGCAGTTATATTAGTAGTATAGTTGTAGCACGAATGGGTCGGCTCGACGGGGGAAGGACCAGCGTGAAATAGTAGCTTAATGCTGCTGTGTTTTGTATGGTGAGTGTAGAGAACAGGAAACCCTTTTTACTGGAAAAGAGGTATTCCATCTTAGTCCTCACGGGTGACAACGCATCTGCATTTTGATTTGTAATCGAGGATAGATGTAGATGTCTTTGAGCCACAGCAACCACTTATCATCAGGTGGAGTGTGTACTCGTTTGTCACCTATCCTATTAAAAATAAAATAATAAATAAAAAAACGTACGCATGTTCTCCGCGTACCAAATCGTATATAATCGTTTTCATAGGCACCGCTGCTCTGTGTCTGCGCGCCTTTACCCCATAAATGATCAATGAAGACAACAATACAGTATACTATGCCTGATTATGTTACCCCGGCAATATATGTTGGCCAAGCCTCAGCCAATGCAAGTGTAAGCAAATTGATGCAAGGCAAGTGCTACAGTCTACTCGTTGGTAAAGTTCGAAAGAGACCAGTTCCAAGGACAATGTTCACAAGTTTTTGTGGAGCTATCTACATGTTCACCATAATTATTCGTCATTGAGAATTCGTATGATATGGACGACGTAAACGTTATTGCAGCTTCTGCTATTTATTTAATAAGTGCATATAATTATTATATCAGTGTACTCCGCATACGCAGTAAAGTTAAAAAAAAACTAAAAGATGTCCTCGTTAATATAGTGAAATTGTCAAAATTATTTTATAGTTGCAACTTAATTAAACAATGTCTTACAGTGACGGACGCCAAGCCTTTAGCCGTGACTGACATGTGCGACTGATATGGACGCGACTTGCCGATGCCGAGTGCAGGCGAGCGCCTTGAATTTGTGCAGAAAAACCGACACTTTTCCGAAGTGAACGATCCGCAGCGAGCGATCCCGAGTGGTGGCAAGGCACGCCAAACGAACCGTATACACTTTGGCGCTCGCCTGCACTCGGCCAGCTAGGCGAGCGTCTACATGGCCAAATGGCCTGTCTATACGTTGGTGCTCGCCTTCGCTCGGCCAACATATGGTTATATACGCGAACAAAGTTTTTGTTTTTAAGATATTCAAATTTTTGTTAAAAGAGAAGATATTTAATATAATAATTTATTATAATTAAATAATTTATTATAATTAAATAATTTATAATTAATTAAATTAAGATTTAATATAATA